GGCTTTGCTCCCGGTGCCTCTGGTCTGCTGGGGACCATCTCCAGCAGACCAGGGACACCGGGAGCAAAGGAGGCGGAGGGGCGCTGGGGTATAAGATGAAACCCTATCTTTTAATTAAAAAGATAGGGGGTCGTCTTATACGCCCAGTCGCCCTATACGCCGGAAAATACGGTACCAATTGTCTCTGTGAGAGGCTTCACATTTATTGAGATATAACTCACCTTGCTGCTTGCAGTCCCAACTGCTCTATTCCTTCTCCAAGCTACACTGCAATTTGATTTGGTCTTCCTCGGTGTTTGCTAGCCCCACAATTTGGTGTTATCTGCTATTCATGTCACAAGTGAATGTGTACCAGACACATGATATAATTAGTTGTGAGGTGCAGAAAGGAGTTTTACAAGCAACTTAAACCCCAACAAACACCATCTTTCTCAACCTTTGTAAAAATACCTTAGAATCCTAGACTGGACTAGTGGTTTGAATGTAACATATTGGAAGAAAATGGGAACGGCAAATACTATGTATGCACAACACTGTGGTAAAACTTAACATTTCAAATTTTTGAAATACAGGCTTGGTTTCTCAACATTACACTTAAAAAAAAAATAGACACCAGTGTTCACTAGTGAATAGCACAACCCATGGTACCTGGAAATAAATGAATGGTTTCAGATAAAATGGAAAGCTAAACACATACTGCAAATACATGTACTTCTGCGTATGACCCTCACCCTACAAAAGCTGATCAGAGCACAAATCACATCATAGAAGTCCACCTGTGGGGTTCTGAATGCAGGATCACAACCTACTACTAAAAACTGGAAGTAAAACGGCCATATCTTTACTCACTGAAAACCAATGTTTTTCACACCTAGTACAACACCTCAGTGAGACTTAATTCCATGCTAAGTGTGTCAAATTTCCATTAATTATTTATTTAATCTTTTAGACCTCAAAGAAGAGCAAAACACAAATAGGTCAAAGAAAGAAAAGAAAGAGAAGCAGTAGACATAAGGTATTTAGGCAGACAGCATACTTGGAAAATTTCAAGTCAAGAACAGAATTATTTGGAAAATGAGTGAGAACTGGGGATAATAATGAACATGTTTTACACCTTAGATGTGTAAAGGATTTGTCTTTACTTAAAATGCCACAATGGCACAGATGTGTTGTACAGTTTTAAGGTAATATCTCTTGTCAGCTTAAGTAATACACTTCCATGAGGTGATTGCTAGGTTGATCCAAGAATTCTTCTGTCAACCTAATGCTGTTTTCATGGGAACCTAGGTTGGCTTAACAGCACTATACTTCTTCTTTGCCCTTAACTCCTATGGGAGCATAGGCCATCAAAAACATCATACATACAGACGATTTTTCACATCCCTGACCAGTTAAACTGACCTAATTTTCTGGGATAGACCAAAGAGACTCGCTGAAGCAATATAATATGGGATGAAACTCCCAAATCTGGGACTCTCTGGTCCGGCAACATCCACGGTCTGGCAGGGCCATGGATGTCACTGGACCAAAGAGCCCCGGAGACAGAAGTACGAACTAGCTGGGTGAACACGGGAGCCCCCACGCCAGCCGGGGAACCTGGCATCAGCAGGACCAGGTGGTGGCTGGGAGTCTCCTGCCCCAGCTGGAGAACCCCGCAGCTGCAGCAGAGCTAGCATCTGTGGATGGCCCTGGCCAGGAACCCGAGAAAACACCTGGTGGCAGCACGAACAGGGGAACCCATAGCCGCGGCCAGGGAATCCCCAGCTGGCAGCAGGGCCAATGGCAGCCAGGCAGTCGCGAACCTGAAGAAACCCCCAGGGCCAGCAGAGCCGGGTAGCTGGGCAGCCCTGGCCTGGGAATCCCTGGCAGCAGCAGGGCCAGCGGCAGCATCTGGGGAGTCCCAGGAGAGTAACAGCAGCGGGGCTGGTTGTGACCAGGAGATCCTAGCTGGGAACCTGTCTGCAGCTGGTGGGCAGCAGGGCAGGGAGTTACTGCTGGGCCAGTTAGTGGAGCCAGCGGTGGGGTAGGTAACCCCAAGGAGAGGAGTCCACGAGCTGGGCAGCCAGCAGGGGAGCACTGACTTCCCCTGGTTTGGCAAACTCCCTGGTTCAGGACAGCTCAGGTCCCAAGGGTACAGGCCAGGAAGATCCAATCTGTACAGCATTTTCTCTAAATGCTGGCAGTGACATTACAGATTGCAGACACATTTCAAATAAAAATTCCCAATCTTTTTTGTGACTTTATGGGAAAAGTGAAACTTTGTCTCAATAAATATATTTTTCTAAATCCACATTTCACTGACATCACTGGCTCCATTACTGCAGCTGATGAAAACAAAAACATTTTATAGGGGTGCACATTAAAGTAATCCCATTTCAATTCTTCCTGCCTTTACATAGTTTGAGGAAAAGGTAGGGGGAGTACAAATAAATGACCCTGAAAAGGAAAATGAGGAAACAAAATACCTCTAGATTTCCATTTTCCAGTTCTCTGCAATGTAGTGCATCATCGATATCAGTACAGCCTGGAGGATCGACACTACATACACACAGATACCTTAGGTCTTCTCTAAATTTCATGTCCTGAAAATGTAAACAACCTTTTTTCAAACATTGGAGAAACCAATCTACAAAATGTCAGAGAAATGTACATTGGGGTGAGATACTCAAAAGCATTTAAGTGAATTAGGAGCACAAGTCACACTGACATTCTGGTTCAGAAAACATCTTTTATATCATTAGGTCAACGTGTACAGGTACTACAGTGATAGTCTGAAGAACTATGGGAGAAATCTTAAAAGTTTTTGCTATTTACTTGAAAAAAAGAAAAAAGGCATAAGCTTCTTGTGAACTAAGTCAGCACAGGCTTAGCAAAGATCAGGAGTCAAAAAATAACGGATCTGACATTCAGTCCTTATGAGTGATTTCTTGGCTCCTGATCTACTGCACAGCCCATGCTGACTCAGAATTCATGGGAAATGCTGTGATTTAGGAGACGTCATAATCTCTCTGTCTCAGTTTCCCAATTTAAAAAAGTTGCAAATGAACATGTGTAATGAATGTAAAATGAGAATCCTATGTACCTACTTCATAGAGAATATGCAAGGGTATGCATCCTGTAACAGTCATTTTCCATATTTAAATTAAATTATTGGAGGAAATGTACAGTACTTGGAACTCATTAAACAGGAAGTTAACTAGTTGGTTTTGTATTAAATATGCTTTGAGGATTTAGGAGAGTGGTTGAAAAACCTAATACAGCCTAACTCCTGTGCATGGAATGAAGGGAGGAGGGAGGTAAAAATAAATTCTCATCTCAAAAGACAGTGGGTTTGGAAAAGTTTTTCTCTCTATCCCCTTTTTTTAATTCCTGAGATCCCTTTGCAACAAAACAGAGAAACTTCGTGTCTAGTTTTGAAGGGGGAAGTTGTGGTAGTCATCAAGCTCAGTTGTCACAGAGTGACTAGCCCATTTAAGAGGAATGGTGCAGCCTGCAACTAGCTACCTGGGCTGAAATGGGCTTAAGGGAAAGCACCTGGGCCTTATAGACACAGAAGCAGTACAAAGACTGCAGAGTCTCCTACAGTGAAGACCTTGAGATCAAGAACAGTCAATCCCGGGAGGGGCTAAGAAGGACTTGGTAAAGCATGGAAGAACCTAGGGGCATTCTAAGGTAATACCTCAGGGAAACGGAGCTGTGCTCAGCTTCAGGCAGAAGGTAGTTTTTTGTGTGCGCGCACACACGCATGTTTATTTTGAACCATAGGTCAATAAAACCAGTCCCTAACGAGGGGTATTACTAAACAGACAGAAAAGCTGTGTGGAGCTTTTAGGACATCCTGAAGACAGAGGGTAGAGTGCTTCAGGGCCACTTGTGGCTATAAAAAGGTACTCAGGTGGCAGCCACCTTATTATATGTTTTTTTAATTTACCTTTTCTGTAATGCTCCATGGCATTTTTGGCAGGAAGTTAAGAACAGCCTGGGAGAAAGGCTGATGGGGAACATCATGTTCAAGAAGCAGAACTTCTGTCTCAGTCTCTTTATCTCCAGCAGCTCCTAAATTCTTTACAAAGTGACCCTAAAAATGAGAGATTTAAGCAACATTTTGACACAGAGCTGTTTGACAATCAAATACTTAAGACAACAAACTCTATTGAGTTAAACTGTATAATACACTCTCCCCTTAGCTACTATGTCATCTTGGAGGTCCCCCCTCCCCAATGTTTTCATGTGGTACATAATCCCTTAAAATCTATTCTCTCCTTTTCTAGCCAAAAGTTTTTTAGTTATGAGATTTTATCGACTCCACACTTCTTCCTTTGGAGCTCCAAGGCCTCCTTATGAAAGAGATGGTATTCTCTCCACAATTACACTAATATTGTTTTGCAACAGATGTGGTTTGTCAGCTTGTTAGAAAACCTAAGCTTTTACTTCTAACTTTGAAATCTCATAATGTACTTCACACCGGTTAACTTCAAGACCAGTTTATTATTTTTGAATACGGTCAGTGTACAAAATACTGTACAGAAGAAAAACATGGTATTCCTTTATATTAAAAAAACAATCACCAGAATCAGTTCTAAAATGGAGATATTTCTGAACTTTAGGACCACAACTTCAAAGCCTAAACACAAGAGATGAGAGTAAGAAGCAGCTGCAGATGCTCAGCACCTTCGGTAAAAAAAAGTCAGGATGCGTAAGTTTGAGAACTGTGGCCTTAAATATTATTCAGTCACAAAATTATGTTGGGAACTTCCTCAACACAAGAAAGTTTTAAGTCAGTTAACTTAATACCACTACTAATCATAAGATTAAAATTGTTATCCTATAACATCAGATATACAATAATGAATTTCTTATTTTAAACTTACATTGGGGTACCTGGAATTTCTAGGCCAACCATCTATAGCAACAATAATTCTTTGTCCCTCCAATGTGGATGCTTGTCTTGTTTCTATTCGAATTCGAGGGATTCTGCGATCAGCTGGTGTAAACAAATGCCGCCTGGCCTGTTGAAAGAGAAAAAAAAATAACTTGTTCTTTTCTCCCTCCATTTTTAAAAAAAATGTACAACAAAATATCAGCTTACCTCTTTTATCTGTGATTTGGAAAGCATGCCACAAAATGGTCTCCAATTTCTTTTTATAATGCCTACTATTCTTCCTGATGGTCTCAACATATTCTTGTTTACCGAAGACTTTAGCTAGGGTTTAAACACAAAATGTATTTGAATTCATTATTTTAATACTGATAAAATAATACATAATCTAACTCATGCTTTAAGGACACACATTTTATCTATCACTGTAACAGTCATAAACTATATTATGACATCGTAAATAGAACCATGCCTCTCCTCAAATATCCTTTACATCACTTTTCATGTCTGCAAGGTGGGACATCAGCAGCTTTGACATAGATAAAACTAGTTTTAACCTCCTTCACCCAAATATAAATTATTACATATGGAGAACACAGTGAGGGAGGGGAAAAGCTGCAAAAAGGTCCATAGATTGCAAAACCAAAAGGAATGAAAATGACCATCTGATCAAGGAGCGGGGTACTTTTTTGGGATGGGGGCCACTGACCCTCAGAAAAGAACAGTCAGGGGCTGCACACAAGTGAGTGACTGAGAAGGAAAAAGACACTCCCCACACTTCCCTCATACACCAGAGCTGGGGATGGGGGCAGCCTAGTAGATTTTGCGTGCTCCAGCAGGGGGGCTTGAACAACAGTGCAAGCTCTCCAGTGCTAGGGGGTTCCTTGAGCCTCGGGGGGCAGATCCAAGCAAGCCGAGGGCCGCATCTGACCCCCGGGACTGAGGTTCTCCTCCCCAATCTAGTCTGACATCCTGTATAACATAGGCCACAGAACTGCCCCCAAAATAACTCCTAGAGAAGATCTTTTAGAAAAACATCTAATTTTGAGTTAAAAGTGGTCAATTACTCTACCACAAGCTTTGGTACATTGTAACAGATAATTTCTTATCGGTGACCGCAAAAACATGGATACCTTAATCTTAATGAACAAATTGTTATTTGTAATAAAAAATAGAAGGATGGTGAAATTTTTTTATTTTTCCCAGAAATTACTAAAGGCAGTGTTAAAATAGTGTAAGCATCTTTTATATGTATTTAAAAGAAATACAACTATTTGAAAACTTGTGAAGTTTAACCTGAAGTGAGAATTTCCTAGTTGTTGTGAGGCTTTTGTTTTAATAACAAGTATTTTGTAAGGTATTTTATTGATAGGTGCTGATAGTTAACAATTATAAGTGTACCTTTCTATTTCTAGCACAAGAAGTGTAGCAAGTTCTTAATAAATTAGCAGATCCTCAAAAATAAAATAAAAAAGAGCAGCAGGTATACTGGGGAAAATATCCTAGTTTTGAAGGGAACTCTTCTACAAATAAAGGAGAACAGAGTGAGATAAGTGTATTCATCTACGAACTGGCAACACTGGGATTTCTGATTTCACATCTCTCAACACTAGAATTGGATGTAAAAAATGCTAATCATGGTTACAATTTTTTTTTTAACAAATGTTTACTCTTTTTGTCAAGACAATAAAAATGTTTTCCAAAATTTATAAAATGTATTGAACTCATCTGTCAAGAGCTGAAATAGTTCTTGCTCCAGGCTGAAGGCAAAGAAAAGAAAGACCACCACCATAGTAGCACAAAAAGTACTGAATCAGAAACCTGACAGTTCATACAATATTTTCTTTCTCCTCTTCGTTATCATCATCTTCATTTTGACCCTCATCTTGCAAAACAACAGAGGATGGTCCACCCCACTGGTCTTTTGCCAACAGTTCCACAGCTACTAGATCTTCATGAACTGCTCGGTTTAAATTTTGTAGTCCTTGTATAATTATCTGTTTAAGAAAACAATGTTTTAGAAAACATTAAAAAAATTACAAAATTTTACAGTAGTCCCCTAGAGGCCCTATTGTGTTAGGCACAGTACACACAGCAGTCCTGGTCCCAAAAAGTTTACACAGGCTAATATATGAGGTAATAATATCTATATTTTCCACTCCAGGTCTCTTTCAGTACTAAAAATACTTACCTAGTATTTGTTTTTCTAACTGATTTAAAATTTAGCTAAAATGTGTAAGAAACATTATGAAAGAGTTATCTTTCATACATTTCAATTGTGATACATTTCCCTTGTGATATTGGTAAAGCAAATGCCAGCTCTGGCCTAGTCAGTAGGCATCAGCTAAGAATTAACACACTCAAAGCTGCAAATCAAACCAGTATTGTTATTCATAATAGATATAAGAATGTATTTAGTGTTTACACTCTAGGAAATGCTTGTAAGTTGCCATATGCATACATCTCACTTGCAAAGCCCATATCTTATGCTATAAGGAAATAGGTAAATTTTGTTTTATCTTCTTGAAAATTTTTGCTCTGAACTTGTGAACACAGGCAGGGGAATCATTCCTCCTCCATCCACTAAGGTGTTCTGTCAAAATTAAATGAATTATTGAGGGATATCACAATACAAAAAATGCCTTTTCATCATACCTTGGAAATGCTACATGCAAGAGAGCTCTTTTTATGGACTTGAAACTTTTGTTTACACTACTATTCAGCTTTTAGCGACACTGCCCCGTCTGCACAGCCCCGTGGCTAAAAGTTGGGCAGCACAGCTGCTCTTTCTGTTTGTTGGCTCTACTGTGGCCAAAATATTCCCCCCCTTAACTGAACCACTGTTCACACTGGCATGTGTCATGGAAAAAGTTTTGTCTTTCAGAAGGAGGTGGGAGGAGGCATTAACACCTTCAGAATGACAAAAGTTTTGTCGTTCAATTTCAATGTGGATATAGCAGAAAGCCGAAATTTCAATGTGGATATAGCAGAAAGCCGAAACTAAAACAGGGTCCAAAAAAACCCAAACAAACAAAAAACACCCCTATATGTCTCATCTCTCTTTGCTGTTTGAACTCTGACAGGGCCAGAGACATTAAACTAAGATGGGCAAAGTACATCTGTCATCTTTAGGAATCACAGATGGTAACTCAGGGCTTGTCCACACTGTCACTTTACTGTGCTGTAACTTTCTTGTTCATGGATGTGAAAAAAATCCCCCGGAGCACCTCAAGTTACATTGCTCTGACGTGCCAGTGTAAACAAACTCCTAGCACTTCACTCCTTTTGTGGAGGTGGTTTACCTACAGTGCTGGGAAAACTTTCCCCCAGCGCCGGTACCATGACCACACTGCTGCACTTTAATGTAGGAGTGTAGAAAAAGCCTCAGTGTATGTTTGCTTACTTTACTCTATAGAGCAACCCTCTTTTCCCCTAAAAAAGTTTAATAAACCTTTAGATAGTTTATTACAGGATTGGCTACAGAGGTGGTCTCTGATCCAGTATAGCAACTGATCTTGGGGGTGGCAAGATAGACTGAAGAGTCTAAGAGGACTGACTGAAAGAACCCCCTTGGTCTTAAAGAAGTTAATTTGTATATAGGTCAATAGGGAATGTTCTTACTTCCCTTTAGCAAAGAGTCAGACTAGTGGCAGAGAAAACGAGAAAAAAGGACAGTGCAACAAAAAAACCAAGATCTTGGTGAGGAGAAGATCTGAGTTAAAGACACTGGGATGATATCACCAACACCACAAATAGAAAACTAATGTATAGAACACACAAAAAAATTAGAGAGAAATGGCATTCATTGAGTAATGGAAGAATATAGCACCATATCAGAACATCAAGAAGTCATGTGGCTCATCTACATTAATCCTTAGAAACCCATAAGTTATTTATTAAAACACACTGGATGCCTTTCAAAATATGAAATCAAATGCAAAACTCACTTCTTTGTTATCTTCATCATCTCCATGAACCCATACTGTAGCTTCAAGATAATTATCTCTGTTAGCTCTGAAGGTTCCTTGAAAGTAGATTCCAGATTTTATGCCTTGCTGTAATTTGCTAAGGGGAAGATGCTCTGAAAAAATTATTCTTCCACTTTCTATTTCTTTCTGTAAAAAAGAAAAAAAAAAGGTAGTTAGTTCACTGCATTCATAACTATCCTAAAACTATGCTCACTGACACAAAATTCAGCTTACTAAACTCCAGCGCAAAAGTCAGAGCAATAAGGAGCACATAAAATGTGTAGGTTACTGTTCACAGGAAGTGGATTACGGTTTCAAAAGGTTTTACGGTAGTTCAAGGACCCTGGAAGGATCACATACCAGGAGTTCTTCTTTTTGTGTGCAGCTGTACACCAAGCCTCATACTATGTGGATGTCAAATGCTTTTATGTTTGTTCAGATGTTATTAGAACATCAAGATTATAGGAGGAAAACTAATTTCTCAGACAAGGTTCTTTGTAACCCGTCACTTCCCCAAAACTGCAATCAAATTAGAGCAATTAAAAGCATTTACTAAAAACACAACTTGAAGAGAATTATTGAGGAAACCAAATCAAATATAACCCCCTCAGAAAATATTAGTATTTTGTCCCATATTAAATTATGATATTACGTATTTGAAATACCTAAACTGTCTATCCAAATAAATTGTATATTAATTTAAAATTTGACAGAAAATGTTCATGAAAATATTAATGTGAGCTCTAAAATAATAGTAGTAAACAAAAAGTTAAGTGGTCCATAATCCAGTCTCAGATGATTTTTGTTTATTTCAATTATTCTGGATCTGGATTTACATTTTTGTTCAATTGATATTGTTTTCATTTGATACTGAATGAGGAACTGTCTAACATAACTGACTTCTGCAAGTAATTTTTAGTTGCTTTCTAATAATTGCATTAAACAGCGCACACAGAGCAACATTTCCCCTTTTATTTCTTCAGAAGAAGCAGAACAATGTTATCAAGAACCTGTGAAATTAAGAATGGCACATACACGTACATTGCCATACTGCAAACCATTTATATTTCTTTTGAAGAGCTGGATCAAAAATAAATAAGTAAAGAAAACATACCCCTTCATCAGATACACAAGCAAGCCGATCTACAAGATCAGGATTAGCGATCAAGCTCTTTATATACTCTTCACCTATAAAAACATAGGCGCAAAATTATGCATTTATAAGTATGAAGACACTAAGGAGATTTTTTTTACATGTCAGCAATAAGTCAAACACTTCATATTAATATAACTTACATGTGTAAGCCGTTAACCCCTCTTTCACAGCTTTCTCTTTATTACTTCTGTCATTTGTTAGTAAAATAACTTGCATGGTCTCCTCATTGTTCATTTTCTTCAAGTGTTCATCATACCATTTTACTGCTACTCTGATAGCTCTGTCATTACGGTCATTAGATGTTTCTCCTTGTTCTTGTTCTATATACGTTTCTCTGAAATCAACAGAAAATCCTAAAGCAAGGTTAAGAGCGTGATGCTACTGATATTTAAATATGCCCAGCAGCAATCTAAAATGAGGAGAGGGTGGAGATTTCTTGCTATTTTTTATTTATTTCCAACACAGAATTTATTATTGAGTATTAGGGAGGACTGTGAGGCACTCCAAAGGGACACAATGAATCTAGTTCATTTGGTGGACACCCTGCACACAGCTTGTCAGGGTAAGTCATTGGCAAGCCGCTAGACAGGTTTTTTACCTTGCATCCACAGCTGTGGCCACTTGCAGCTCCCATTGGCTGAGGTTCTTTTATTTGTCTTACAATTACGATTTTATATGTAATGTATGGAACTTACCACTACATTGAGCCAAGCTGCTTAGCAAAATTCAAGTTTGGTCTTCACTACAGAGCTAGGTAGATATAAAGCAGTTTATATTGACCTAATTAGGTCAATGACTACACTAGAATGATGCTTCCAACAAAGTGCTTGTTCTATATATACAAGTTTGCTACACCAACAAATTAACTCTGTCTTCATGAGAGCTGTAGTGCTTATTCCAATACAGTTAGGGCAACATGGTTCTGTTTGTAGATGCTGCATTATTTACATTAACTGTTGGCTGTCAACATCCTGTTAAAGCACTGAGCACCCAGATCTGCACTGTTGCTCCTGGTGAGAGACTGTAGGGTAGTAAGGGAAGGAGAGCAGGAGCCAGGCCACTACCAGGGATTGTGCTCCCCCACCTCCAATCCCTCACCAGGAGGCAGCAGCTGGGCTTCTGACAGGCAGCTCTGGCAGCTGTGGACACCCAATGGGAGCTCCCCTGCCTCCGACAGATCCAGCTATGAGTCTTAAGGGCTCAATTTCATACCAAGGAAACTACCAGCAATGAAACAGAAATTCTTGTCAATTTTACAGCTGCTATTATTTCATTTTTTGGCTCTGGTTATCAGCCCAGCCCTAAAGCTCAGGGACTCCAGCGAAGAATATGACATGGCACTGATAACTTGGGCTATCAACCTGGGTGCTCACAGTGCCCCCTGCTGGCTGACAGACAAAACTGAAAAGTGAAATATCAGAAGCCATGAACCTGAGAAAAATGTCCAATGTATTGCTGGCAGTCTCCCTTTTGTGAAATTGAGCCCTCTGGTGCTCAACTCCATTAGCCCCACAGCCAGAGGTATGGGGGAGGGAGGGGAGTAGCGGGGTGACAGCTGTGAGCCCAATGCTTGACTGACAGCTCTGGATGTCAGCACAGAGTCTGAGGGATGCTCTGAGCCCCATGCTTACAGTTGAAACTGTCAGCCCAGGGCTGCTGGGCTCCAGTACTGGCATCCCACAACGCTCCACTTCAGTCAGTAGACGTGCTCCTGGTGAGAATGCACAGCACAAACAGAAGGTTCATGTGTACATGAACCACCACTAAGTTGACACGCAGCCACCACAGTAATTGAAGTCAACTTCATTTTGCAGTGCAGATAAACTTTCAGAAAAGCTAGGGGCCTGATCCAAAGCCTACTGATGTCAAAGAAACTTTTTTCCTTTGATTTCAATGAGCTTTGGATCAGGACCTAGATGACTGTGCCTAATGGCAATTCATGTTTATGTACTGTCTTTTATCCAGACCGATATCAAGATGCTTTACAAAAATGACAACATTCTTGTGAGGATCACTTTGCACATTAGTGAAATGCAATCACCACAAGAGTGAAAAATGATAACTACTTAACAGAACATAGTGACAACACCACAAGAGTTACAATCTTGCATACTTCCCCACATTTAGCAAACCATCAAAAGTAGTCTTTCACAAGTTGACATTTTCCAATGATTTAACAATGCACAATTATCCAGGTGCATTAGTGTGCGTGTTACAGTGGTTTGCCGTCTTATGAAAAATATACTAAAAGGGATTAGGAGGGCGGGATGGGGAAAGAAGAGCCCGGAACCTCTTCTCCTGGAGAAGAATAACACTGCCTGTTCTTGGCCCTGCGTTAACATCAGTCATATGCTATGCCGCATCCTGGAACCATGGAGCCATTGCTGTACATGACAGCTGCTTTCAGGTGCAGAGCCTGCCTTGACTCCACTGCCTGGCTGCTCCCAGGATGGGTGGGGTTTCAACCCACCATCCTGCCTTTCCCAGATACATGACCTATTCCCTAAGTCACTCCAGAATCCACCCCATCTCCCTACGTTCAGGGGATCCCAGATCCTGCCTTCCTAATGTGGGAGCTAGCTCCATCTCTGGGGCAACTGGTGTTGGCTGCCAGGCCACTGCCTGAGTGGGTAGAGTTGGTTCAGGGTGGTGGTTCAAGTCCCAACCACCCTGGGAGCATCCACTGATGCAGAAGCAGGGAAAAGAAGCCTCAGCCAGCAGCCCTCTGCCTGAGCCTTGTGCAGATGGCTGCATCTGGCTGTATTAAGCATCCACAGAAGATGAAAAGATATCCAAGTTGCATAATAAACAAACATTTTAAATCATGTGTCTTTTGCAACAGTGCTGAAAAATTTAGGTTTGGGACAAGGGTGCAGAAGCGAGTCAGAGCAGCAAGCGAAAGTGGTTTAAGATAGATGGTTACATCACATTGCCAGTAAAGTAAGAGCTATAACATAGGAAGCTTTTCACAGTGATCCAAGGGGCTAAGGGACCAATACAATTGCAAAGAGACCAATTCATGAAATTATTGGCAACAAATGTATGATTGAAAACCCTTAGCTTCATTAGTTCCTAAATTTAAAAAAGTTATTACTTTTCTAAATGCAAAATAATTTGCCAGTGCATGTGAATATTTTGAGGTAATTTTATTTTCAAGTACATGTCTCATAACTGGCCACCCTGAAAGTGCATCTCTTCATATCTGTTGATGAAACTGCAACACACTTGAACTTACTAGGATAGTTACCTTATTTTCATCATCACTGCCCTTAGACACTTCAGTTGTATCCAAGTTACTTATGTAATACATTCTGAAGTTTACTGTACCCCAAACTATACCTTACCTATGATGTTCATTAGTGAAGGAATAGAAATGTTTTTCATGATTGGTGATCACATCTCTAATTCGTTTGTACACTGGTGCACTCCGTTTCCTCACTTCTTGCAAGACTGTCTGAAGCACAATTACATTTGTAATAACTGGGTCTTCAAGTATATCAATCTGTGAAACAAAAGAGTCCCAAGTTATTTTTTATTTTTAACGGATAAGAGAATGAAATGTTTATCAGACCCTGACACATGATCGCCAGAATATAAAATTAATGATGACATGCCCAGACCTCTCCCACCATTTCTGGGGAATGGAATGGGGACAGAATTTCCATAAATAAGCTATCCCAAGACCCTTCCTGGAGACCTTGGGTGGGATTTTCAAAAGCCCTCAGCCATGAATTTGAATAGAGAAAGGAGATTCACATCAGCTCCCAGCAGCCACCGCCAGCCCCACCTCTCCCCTCCCCCTCTGGTCAGTATCATCAAGAAAACAAAATTCAGCATGAGCCCAAAAGACAGGCAATTCAAAGCGGGAGGACAGATGGCAGTGACACTCTGTTGATTGTATTTCATGTCGCACAATCATTTGGTGTTGTTGCTTTCAGGAGCTCGGGCTTAAAGCATGTGATTACAAGCGAAGCTCAAGCTGTGAGTAAATGCTTGAAACCACAGCTAGGGTGCACTGCAAAGCCAACACTGCCAAACCAATAAACAGCATTTCTGAGTATTACGTCTCATGATGTTTGAGCAGATCTCGACATTCAAATATCTAAAAGGGTGTCACAAGGAGGAAGGAGAAAATTTGTTCCTCTTGGTTTCTGAGGACAGGACAAGGAGTAATGGGCTTAAAGTGCAGCAGGGGAGGTTTAGATTGGACATTAGGAAAAAATTCCTAACTGTCAGGGTGGTCAAATATTGGAATAAATTGCCAAGGGAGGTGGTGGAATCTCCCTCTCTGGAGATATTTAAGAACAGGTTAGATAGACATCTGTCAGGGATGGTGTAGGTGGAGCTTGGTCCTGCCTTGAGGGCAGGGAGCTGGACTCGATGACCTCTCGAGGTCCCTTCCAGTCCTGGTTTGAGCAGATCTCGACATTCTGGAGGTCTGGTCGGAGAGCAGATTAAGTGAGGTAACCTGTCACCCTTATCCTGAGCCCCAGCCGGCTATAGCTACACTGCAAGTAACGGTGGTTGGCGGGGACTCCCAGCGGTGAAAGTAGCTTAACATTTCTTACAGGTACTGTCCTAGTGCAGGCCAGGTCCCTGCCAGCTCTTCACGCAGCTCCCTGCGGGCTTTTTGCTGCAGCGCATCCAGCTCTTGCCAGAGCCGCGCACCGGGGCGCACCGCACTTCCTTTCACCCCTGCTGACTCCTAAATGGACCAGTACCTGGTGCAGCAGGACGTTGGTGTCCGGCAGCAAGTAGTGGGGGGCGGGACAGAGGGTGCTGGCGGCGCCGCCGGGCTGGGCCTCCAAGCGCGGCTCCCCGGGCTGCTGCTCGCACTGCTCACAGGCGGCCGCCCCGCACGCGATGTCCTCGCGCAGGTAGTGCTCGCGCACAACCTTCATCACCGCTCCCGCCCGCGTACGCTTCAGGAATGTGCGCGAGGTCAACATCTTGCCGGCACCAAGCGAGCGGCTCCTAGCCAGCCACACACGACCGTACCGGAACCGGAAGGGCAGGCGGAACCGGAGACTACAACAACCGGCATGCACTGCGGCCAGAGCCGGACACACTTCCGATGCCAGTCGTGCTGTTTGGGCTCTGCCTAAGGGGCGGGGCTGGCCTCGCGGGTCCCAGCATGCAGTGCGGCTAGAGCGGGAGGCTTGACGCGACCCTTTCGGTCTTTTTGTTTTAGCACCAGCGCCGTTGCCTTGGTGACGGCATCTAACAGCCCCGCCCTCTCCGGTGTGGAGCGTTTGCCGAAGCGGACGGCGCGCGGGCGCCCGTTGGCCGGGAATTGCAGGAGGTGGGGCCGGGCTGGCGGCCTCTCCCGCCTCGCGGGGCAGTGCACGGAGTAGGGCTGGGGAGAGGGCGGCTCCGCAATGTACCTGCCTGCGCCGCGGGGCTCTCATGGGGCAGCCCCGTTTGCCCCGCCCCAGGCTCGGCTCTCCG